AATGACCTTTATCACAATATGCTAATTTTTTTTGAAGGACCTGTACATAAAAAACAGTTAATAACATTATTTATCTGAGGAGCAGACTGCTTTGAGTTTATCTTCATCGCAGACCCTCATCTTGAGCAAGCATGAAGGCGACAGTGGAAAGGAAAAACTTCCTCATGAGGAAGAAACCTCCAGCAGAACCAGGCTCAACAAAAGCGGTCATCTGCCTCAATCAGCTGGGTTTGAGAGGAACAAGAAGGAGGAACAGATACACAATGGCAGGTCAAGAATCACATGTTAAGATAGAAATAATATCAAATGAAAACTATTCATTTTTAACTATTCATTTAAGGAAATGATGTCAATTTGTCCTCCAGTAGCCTATGGCAGCATAACAATCCAACCCTAACTATAGGATTTATCAAAAAGGAAAGTCTTAATCCCAGTCTTAAAACTGGACAATGTGTCAGCTTCACAGACAGAAACTGGAAGTTGGTTCCACAAGAAAGGAGCCTGATAACTGAAAGATCTTGCTCACATTCTGCTTTTGGAAACTCAAGGAACCACAAGTAAGCCTGCAGTCTGAGAGCAAAGTGCTCTGTTAGGAAAATATGGAACACTAAGATCAGTTATATAAGATGGAGCTAGGTTGTTGAGGGCTTGGTAGAAGTAAGATTTTGAATTCTATTCTATTCCTCATGGCTCGATGGGACCAATCTGTTTAAATAAAGGTTGAATGAATTCTGAATCTGACAACATAATGTAGATAGGCCAACAGAAGGAGTTGCCACAACTTTTTTTTGACAAACTGACAGAGCAAAATTAACACGTGGCATTGTTTTTATTTCATAATAAGAACAAAAAGCTTAGCTGCACAGCAAAAAGTGACAGTATTTCTTATACACAAAAAGTAACACATAAAAGCATTAACACACGAAGCCTAGTTCCAAATGAATATATACAACAAAACAGAAACGTGATTAAAAAAATAACATTTTTTTTCCAAAATGTACAACAGAGATAGAAATATACAAGAACGTATTGAGGAAAAAAACAGATCATTACAGCTTCACTGCTTAACCTTTCTTCCTCCAGACAAAAGACAAAGAGGTGAATTATTGCACCAGGCAACAAAGCAAATAGAAATGATTAGCACATATTTTAGCACAAACAAAAAAACTCGTTAAGAGTAGCAGATCAATGAAATTGTGGTTGTATTTGTTTTTTTGGGGGGGATGGAAGAAAGAAAAGCTAACAATGATTTGATTAAATCTGTTTAAAACCAAATAAAATCAAGATAAAGGTGAAGTTGTAAAACTACTTTTACTGCAATGTACGCAGTCTATTAGAAAATCTTTAAACTAAAAGTCTTTAAACTAGACATTACTAGTTAGCACCTTGAGATAATTGCAAGCACAAAAAATTAGAGATTAAATACCGGTAGTAATGGGATGGGAGAGATGGATCTTTAAAATATAACATTCTCGCTCACATGTTTAACATGTCAAGTAAAAAAAAAACCCTCACTGTGTTGTTTCAAGCCATTTAAAATTTAGCTGCCTCAGCTGTTTAGTCACAATGAAGTTGCCATTGAAATGTTATGTGACACATAAAGTATATATATATATATATATATATATATATATATGTATAAAAATTATTAGTTTTGTATTATCCCCTCCATTTTTCTGGGGGGAAAAATCTCACATGCACAGACACAGAAAAATACAAAATACAATATACTGACCAGGTTGATGACATCAGGATTTTGATGCACTTTAGTAAGAGTCTCTGAAAGTTACCAGCACTTTTTTTTTTTTTTTTTTTTGCTTACCATGAAGCAGTCTACAGAAAGTTAAAAATCGGAGTCAGCGTCCATTAGCTCCGCCTCCATTAAATTGGTCCTGGAGTGGATGGGTCCACAGCCAGCCCTGCGGCCTGCCGGCACCCGGGCCACACGAGCCATTCTCTCAGACATCACGTTAAGGTTCATCTCTCCAGGGCAGAGTGAAGACCCCATGGGCTGCCAGTTGGAGTTTGATGGGTGATAGCATGGCTTGAGGCCCAGATCGTCAGGTCGGTCGATGTGGGTCAGAGGGCTGGACAGCAGCTTGTTGCCATAGCTGCTTTGGCATTGCAGGTAGAGGCACCTCTCCTCATAGGATTGAAACTCTGGGCACGACCCCGGCAGGATGTCCTCCTCCATCTTCAGCTGCTGCCTCTGCTGTGAGTGCAGGTTAGCCACCAGGCTCGGGTGGCAGGGAAGCTTGGGCAGCCGGGGCACTGAGCTGCGGCCATACTCACGCTGGGGATGAGCCTGGTGGTTTGCCACCTCCTCAACCGGACGCACGTCTTTCCTTTTCTTCTTCTTCTTCTTTTTCCTTTTTATCATCTCAGGAGAAATTTCAGCCTCCACCATCCACAACTTGTTTCTCTCCTCTGGAGGTGGCACTGTTGGAAAAATACATATATAAAGAACCCTTCCAGTTAATTAGAAAGCAGAGTAAACATGTTTTTTGCTGTATACGTCACTTTTTTTGTTGTTGCATAATTTACATGCCCTGTGACTTATAGGCCAAAGTGACGTATTTATGGATTATTTTCCCATATTTATAAACCAATTTTTGGCTGAGATATGACCGGTTTCATTCGTTCTGACTGAAAATATTGAACACTACCAGTTTCAGCCACTAGATGGAGGCAGAGTAGTGAGACATGCCGTTGTATCATGTAATAGGTAAAATTGGCTATTAATGACACAGTCGGTTTGCCATACACTTCCACCTTGTCTGCCTGGAGCAACCGAATCAGCTTCAACTCGCTGCAAAGTCCTGGCGAAATGCAGCTGATTTGACCATCAAAGTGCATTTATTAAGCAAAAGTTAGACTGAGACATACCTTTACTATAATTTCTAGAAAACAAATAATTGTTTTTAAGTGTTAATCTTGTTAAATTCTTGTTAAAGTCCTCTCGTGCACGCTCCCACGGATGCCATTTGGCAGCCAGTCAATTTTTGGCACAACACTGGTCCACATTTCCGGGTTGTCAGCGATGACACGTAACAAATGCATCAGCGGTGACGCATAATAGATGCGACGTATACGGCGAAGCGACATATTTATGGATTTTTCCACTTTATTAGACAAATATGGACTGATGCGACTTATAGGGCGGTGCAACGTGTATGGCGGAAAATGCGGTGCTGCCTTTATTTGGCTAATTATGAAAAACAACAAGCAACAGCAGATAATCAGATGTAACATTTTGGTCAAACCACACACAACTCCAGGGTCTCACCTGATGTACCGGTGGGAGTGACAGAAATGTCTTCAGGCAGGATGGCACCTCGTCTGGCAACCATCTTGGTCACATGCTGCGCCCATGCTGATGACACATCATTGGATGGCTCGTTGAGGTCAAAGTTGATTCCAGCTATGAAAGAGAAAATCACAAACTAAAAACAAGGCTTTGGCTCAGTAACCCTACACCCATCATAAATATCAGATGAAACCTCCTCTTAGGAGATGAACACATGCACACTCACCCACTGGGCCATCGTGAGACACGGTGTGCATGCTGAAGGACAGTTCCTTCTCTGGGTCCTTGTGAAGCTCCTTTCTCAGTGCAAACGCCTTGGCAATCATCTTGCTTTTCTTTATCCTCTTGGGCTCGTCGTCACTGCGGCCAATGATCCTGGTGAAGGAATACAGGAAAACAAACAGCTGCACATGATGGCAACAAAAAAAAAAGCAACTGTTTCACTTTAACTACCGTATTTTTCAGCCTATAAGTCACGTTTTTTTAATGTACATGCCCTGCGACTTAGGTCGAAGCAACATATTTATGGATTTTTTTCCCCCCATATTTATAAACCAATTTTTGGCTGATATTTGACGGTTTTCATTCATTCTGACTGGAGAAAAAAAAAGAACAGTACCACTTTCAGTCACTTGATGGCAGCAGAGCAGTTGTGGTGTGGCATGCCGTTGTATCATGTAATGGGTAAAATGTCTATTAATGACAAATTCAAAAAAGTTCAAGACAAAAACAACTGGACTTTATTTATTATACTTTACTTAATACTTTTTTATTTTTGTCTTGAGCTTTTTTTAATTTAGCATGTCCTGGATGACTGAGAATCTTCACTAGCTATTAATGACACAATCGGCTTGCTACATAATTCCACCTTTTTTCTGCTTTCGATAATTATTATATATAATTATTATAATTTCGAGCAAACAAATAATTGTTTTTACGTGTTAATCTGGTTCAATTCTTGTTAAAGTCCTCCCGTGCACATTACCGCAGCCGCCATTAGCAGCCAATCGATTTTTGGCACAACACCGGCCCACAATTCTGGGTTGTCAGTAGTGACGCGAAACAAACGCGACGCGTCAACGGTGGCGCATAATAGATGTGACGTATTCGGCGAAGTGACATATTTATGGATTTTTCTACTTTATTAGACGCGACTTATACATCGGTGTGACAAGTATGGTGGGAATTACGGTAATTGATCCCAGTTGTTCCCTGGAAGTTGGCTTACTTGCACCAAGTGCGTTTCCAGATGAGGATGGTGGCTTTGGTCCAGACCCAGGTGCTCATGACAATTCCAGTACCAAACATGGAGAACAGGTTGATCTTCTCCACCATCAGGTTGGGGCGGTTCTTAATCGTGCATTCTGGGATGGGTTTGTTGGTTTGAGATGCGATCGTCACATTGGCTTCACATCTGTTGGGAATGAACGCACAGAGATGACCTGTTTGATCTAACGAGTCACACACGAGCGGCACTCAGATGATTGAACTCCTAAATAAAGTTAGGCCAGAGGAGGGGAGCAACATTTTTGAGGTTGAATTCATTTGAACTAGCCAGAGTCAACACTGCGGGGAAACAGAGCCACATTTATTCAACGAGTACGTCTGAGCAGCATCAGGTGCAAACTTTTACCTTTTCACTTCTGTGATCTGTGAAAACACATCGAACTGTGGAAGGTGAGCCAAAAGAAAAACTTACAGCACATATTCTCTGAAGCTTCTCTCCCATTCGGCCTGATTGAAGAAGTCATAAAAGTGGCAGCCGAATGTGATGAAAACAAAACCAAAAGCAAGGAACCCAAAAATACCTGGAGTAAAAGAGAGAATGGCGCATCACAGAGGATCGATACAGTCAGTAAGATAACTCGCTTGTGCAAACAGGACATTTACGCAGCTTCTCCTATCAAACTGGTGCATTAGTGATTCCTTGCTCATTTTGCCTGCAGCTTTAGACAGAACATTAGCTTTCAGCGACGGCTGAGCTCGTGCTTCAGCTGATTCTTCGAACTTTTAACAAAACGGTGGGGCAGAACTCACCGAGCCTCAGCATCGTCTCGTTGATTTTGCTGGCAGCTTTCTCGCTCAGCAGTCCTGGGTGGTTACTCTTGATGGAAAACAAGGTCATCACACCTGCAACAAGCAGCCACATCAGTCCAGATGTTTACACGACAACTGCCATTTACATTTGAACGCAGTGCTCATCGAGCGAATGAAGTGCACCTCGAATGAGGAAGTAGCCTCCGACAACAAGCACCACCCCGATAGGCGCCAGCACAAATCCAGCTCGGTACCGGTAGTTCTTATAGCCGACGAAGCAGATCCCACTCACTGAGTCCCCGTCCACCTTTGGACAACAAGATGTGGACAAGACGTCAAAAACACAAGAACACGGTCAGCTTGAGTACTTTTTTTGATACAAACCTCAGCGATAGCAAGGATGGCCACCGTGAGGATGAAAGGGGCGGACCAGGTGACCATGTGGAAGTAGGAGGTCCGACCTGAGAGGGGCTGGTAAGTCGTGCCCAGAGCTTTGAAGGACGTGTGCCAGGCGTAAGTCAGCATAACAAACCAAATCACGCCCGACATCAGCGAGTAATAAACGATGATAAAGATTGTGACGCACGACAGAGTTTCTGAGGACCTGCAGAGAACACAACTGTTAACGACCTTTTCTGGTTTGTTTTAGTAACAAACACGAGACTGGGCCTTCCGCACTCACGAGGGCTCGCCGAGCCGCATGGTGTTGTCGCTCTTGCACACAATCTCTTTGCGCGCGCCGTCCAGGAACTGGGCCAGCCAGCCGATGCTGCCCACAAAGAAACAAGCGTTGATGTAGAAGAGAATGACGGCCGGGTAGCGGTTGGAGTTCTTCCAGTCGGCAAGAAACGTGGCCTGGATCAAGACGGAAGGGAAACAACAGCTAAAATGGTTAACGTGGAAAATAATTTCATTTTGCTAACGAATCTTTCGCAGTCGAGCCGTATGTTTATGTCTCACCAGGGTGAAGAAGGTGCAGAGAAGAGTAATGGTGCCAAAGGAAGCGATGTAGGCGTGCATGTCATTGTGCTCCTCTACGGTGAATAATGGGTTGTCACACTGGATCCCACAGCCCTCCACATCTTTGTACCAACTGGACTGAATGTCCGTTTTCACCAGAGGAGCTTCACACTGACCCGACGTGTTGAACTTCAGCTTGGACATCTCATTCTGCGAATAAAAGATGCAAAAGGTGGCGATCGGTTTTGTTTCTGGATTACTGAAATAGGCCAAGAATGAATCCCAGCTAACAGCTCAAGATCTTGCATCTGACCTGACCTCAGATCTTACTGGAAGCAGAGCAATAAGACAAGTTTCTCCACAGGGAGCAGTAAATTAACGGTCAAGCATACCGAACAGCCCGCAGGAAATTTGTCACATTTGAGGAAGCCGGGCCAGCCTCTCTCCCGGTCCACGATGCTGCAGGGTTTCCGGGTCGCCAAACACAAGCTCTTGCTGGGCAGCTCGACTCGGCCGTTCTCACATTTGGGCATATAGATGGCACAGAGCAGCGGCTGGATGACCGACCAACACCTAGGAGCGTTCCGCAAACCTGCAGGATAAAGATAATAAAACACATGTCAGCACTGCAGCTGTGGCAAGTTCCAAAGTATGGAAAGAGGAGCTGCACTCTGAACATAAATACAAATTATTAGGTGAAATATGGATGACACATTTGTGTTTTATGGTAAAGCTGCTCATGAGGGCGTTTTTTTCTTTCCACTGTCACCTTCATGCTCGCTCAAGATGAGAGTTCTGCGATGGAGTTAAACTCAAAGCAGTCTGCTCCTCAGATAAATAATGTTAAATTATTATTTTTATATATATGAATATTTCTGTTCAGTGCTCTGAGATGACTTCTGTTGTGACTTGGCGCTATATAAATAAATTTTATTGAATTTATGTTTGCCAACTCACATTTTTCAAAACACAAGCAGTCTGCATTATACTGTGCAAACTTTCTGTCTTATTCATGCTGTAGCAGATATTTAAAGGACATGTGTTTAAAAAAAGGATGCAAAGGTTTTTGTTTTTTTAAACAATGATATTGTGTGTAAGATTTGAGAATAAAGTGTAATAATAAAGTTCTGCACCAGGATTTGAATCAATAAGCACTACCAGTGGTGGATGAAGTATTTACCGGTACATAACTATAGTAAGATTTTGCATTTGAAATACCATAGTTATTTTAAGAACTCTTATTTTATTTTTTTGTGACACCTAAAACTACACATAAACATTGCAGATTATTCTCCTATTACTTATCAAACGATTGCATTATTTATAAATTTGCATGTATGTAATAAACTGGTAATATCAAAACCAATTATTGTAACAGATTTTTTTTTAACAATATTGTTGATGAATTACCCACCAGATTATTTTCTAGCCTAATAATCTCTAACTAAATGACTCACAATCTAACAAACCATTTGAGCTGTTGACTTTATTATTCAAGTTGTTTACAATTAAAAAAACATCTAAAAAAAGCTAAATATATTTATCTGTATTATTGTTTGGAAATTGTACATCTACATCCAAGCTCGACTGCTCTGTATTTGGTCTAAAAGTGAAAGTTTCGAACGTTTATTTATTCATTTACTCCAAGTAAATGAATAAATGAGGCTCGTTTGAGCTTCTTGCATTCTTAAACCTTTGACTCATCGCATATTACTTTTATTCCTAATTTCCTGAAGCCTTTCTTCAAATTTCTCTCATACAGCTGCACTATTAAACACAGTAATGATGTCATAAAAATCCCTTCTTTTTTTTTTTTTTGCTTACATATACAAATGCAGCCTTTTGGGGGGGGGGGGCAACAAATTAAAAGCTTGAAAATAAGTAAGATTTTTGGCACCACCTCACCCCTTAAAATAAAACAAGAATAAGCAGTTGATATTTATAATTCATGTTAAAGTTAGTATTCTTCCAGGACTTTAAGTGAAGAGCCTTAGGTGCTTTTATTCATTTATTTTATAAATGTTTTTATGTTCGTCATCATCTTCTTCTCCTCTCATTATAATAAATCTTACCAGACCACATGGTTAGCTTCTCAAAAGCCTCCTCCTGGGTGCTGGAGTCCTCAGCCAGGAGCAGAGAGGTGTGTGTGTAAGGTAAAGGGGACCCCAGACATGTGTTGTATTTAAGGGCCTCACAGGTTGTGCTTTTCTTGCACATGTCCTCAAATATGGTCCCGTTTGGGGCCAGCACGGCCCCGCAGCCCGACAGCCAGCCAGCCCAGACCCAAAGCATCCCACAAAGCCCAACAAAGGGCCTCCAGGCCTGGGAGGACATCTTGAGAGGGGGATAGTTAAGCTCTGGAAACACTAAAATAAATGACTTCTCAAAGCTTCACTCAGATTCCCCTGTGATTCGGGAAAAGAGGCTTTCTTCATCAGATGCAGAACAAGTTTCCAACATGTGGAAGAAAAGTTTTAAAGTTTCCTCTCCAACTTTCTGTCCGACCGCTGCAGGATCCTGCTGGATCCCTCCATGATCCAAACTCCAAACAGCCACAGTTAAAAAACAAGGTCCTCAAGTGATAAAAACAAAACAAGGATGATGAAGACAAGTTTATATAAAAATGTTCATCTGGGAAGAAGAAAAGTTGCTCTGCCCTCCCCCCACTGCCCCTGAAAAACTTGAAAAAGTCTGGATCTCTGTAATCTGATCTTTGCCTCTCATGCACCACCCCTTCTGAAGACTTTTTTTTTTTAATGCAAGCAGAAAAATAAGATGAGAAACAGTCCTGGATCCTCCGTCTTGGTCCCAGGAAGTGATTTTCCTGGTGGAGGATCTGGCGAGAGGTCTCCTCTGTGTTTTTGTGTTCCTGTGAGCTGCAGCTCGGTCCCGCTTGTGTTTTTTGTCTCTGGTATGCACATGATGGTGGTGGAGGGGAGAGCCAGAGCAACAAAACCTCCCTTCCCATCCCCCTCTGCTTGTGGAAGAATCTGCCTTATGGCAGGAGTTTCTCAGCCCCTCTGAAAAAGAAAACAGATTTCAATCTGACAGGTTTACTCATGTAGGAGAAAACCCATCAGAATGATCTCACACCTTAAAAGACCATAACTGCACATTTATGCACTAATCCATCAAAAACATTACCCAAAGGCGCATTTTAAACTTAACTTTCTTCTGTTTAATCTAAATCAATTGAAAACTCTTTATTATTCTAGCAAAGCATCTTAAAAGTTTTGCAGCATGACAGGATTCAAACCTGGCCTTTGACTTGGCCGTATTGTTTATTTGTTCTTTTAGTGAGTTGTTCTGGTTTATAGATATTTATTATCACGTTAAGAGGTCCATGTTTTTGGTTCAGCTTTCTTCAAGGTTGCCCAATCAAAGCCAAACCATAATATCTCCTCCACTGTGCCCGCAGGTGTAAATGAAAAGCACACAAATGTCTAAAAATGACTCGAGGCTTTCTTGTGAACAAAAAAGAACTGGGTTGGGATTAATTTTGGGTCCGAATTTACAGATTGGTGCATAGAAATGTATATATGTTGAGGAACTGACTTATTTAGATCCAGAAGTTAATATTCTCTACATTATTGGAATAAGACATGTTGTTTCCATGAGCATAATGAGGAAATAAATTTAAACCCTAAACACAATTTACATTGTCAAATCTCTACAGGATACACATAAATAAGCTGCGTGAAGATGATGAATCACAATTTGATAAAAAGTATCTCCATTTCTTTCAGTCTGTGAAGGACATAAACTGACCACTTTATCTAAAAATTATGATTTTAATGAAACGTTCCAGACATAATGGAGTTCATCAGAACACTTACTGTATACTGAGAGGAGAGTTCTTTACAAAAGTCAAGACTACACAAGTTAGGACCGATTTATTTATTTTATTTAAAAAAAAAAACACCTGACCTCTTCAGAGACACTATCAAATAAATAAAATGAAATTATCTTATGTGGAAATAAAAACTAGAGTACAAAACCATTTTTGAGGCGATTGTGTGTCAGCTATTAATAATTTATTCAACCTTTATTTATACAGGTTAGTCTCGTTGAGCCTCGAGGACTAATTTATAAGAGAGACCTGTTTAAAGTAGGTGGTAATAGTAAAGTAGTAAAGTAAATGACTAAAGTTCCATACATTTGTACAGTAAAGTTGTAAAGGAGTAAAGTACAGTAAAGTAGTATAATAAAGTAGTAAGGTAGTACAATAAAGGACAGTAAAGTACCATAGTACAGTAAAGGAGTAAATTAGTAAAGTACAGTAAAGTAGTACAATAAAGTAGTACAGTAAAGGACTAAAGTACAGTAAAGTAGTAAGGTAAAGTAGCAAAGTACAGTAAAATAGAACAGTAAAGGAGTAAAGTACAGTAAAGTAGTACAGTAAAGGAGTAAAGTACAATAAAGGAGTACAGTAAAGGAGTAAAGTACAGTAACGTAGTAAGGTAAAGTAGCAAAGTACAGTAAAATAGAACATTAAAGGAGTAAAGTACAGTAAAGTAGTACAGTAAAGGAGTAAAGTACAATAAAGGAGTACAGTAAAGGAGTAAAGTACAGTAACGTAGTACAGTAAAGTAGTTCAGTAAAGGAGTAAAATACAACATAGTACAGTAAAGTAGTAAAGTACAGTAAAGTAGTACAGTAAAGGAGTGAAGTACAGTAAAGTAGTACAGTAAAGTAGTAAAGTAGTAAAAGTACAGTAAAGACGTACAGTAAAGTTGTATAGTAAAGTCGTAAAGGAGTGAAGTACAATAAAGTAGGACAGTAAAGTAGTATAGCAAAGTAGTAAAAGTAAAGGAGTAAAGTACAGTAAAGTAGTACAGTAAAGTAGTAAATGAGTAATGTACAGTAAAGATGTACAGTAAAGTTGTATAGTAAAGTAGTAAAGGAGTAAAGTACAATGTAGTACAGTAAAGTAATAAAGTACAGTAAAGATGTACAGTAAAGTTGTATAGTAAAGTAGTAAAGGAGTAAAGTACAATGTAGTACAGTAAAGTAATAAAGTACAGTAAAGATGTACAGTAAAGTTGTATAGTAAAGGAGTAAAGCACAATGTAGTACAGTAAAGTAGTAAACTACAGTAAAGTAGCACAGTAAAGGAGTGAAGTAAAGTAGTACAGTAAAGTAGTACAGCGAAGTAAATCATGATCCCAGTTTAGACAGAGCAGAGTGTGTGTATGTGTTTGTGTGTACGTTAAGAAGGGAGGAGATATTTTTTAGAATACAGAAGCTCATTAAATTAGTTTTCTTTGGGATGTTCTCATTGGTCTGAGCTTCTCTTCTTCTTAAGGCGGTAGCAGAAACCCACAGCTTAAAAAAACATACCCCAGTAAACTTAAAATGTTTAATGATAAGAGGTTCACCCCCCAAAAAGACTGATTCTCGAGCAAAAATCCCCACCGTGATACTGGTGATGTTGAATAAACTGGAACATGAGCTTGTGGTTTTTTTGCATGACCGCTGGTTCTTTGTTTATGCTGAATAAAATTTGGTTGAATCTATTCTGTCCTGTGAGTGTGTGTGTGTGTGTGTGTGTGTGTGTGGGCCAAAACCCTCAGCAATATGGCTGTCTGTGTGAGTCAGATGCTAAAAAAAAGGAAGAAAAAAAAAACCTCGGAGACCACACACAGAGCTGCAGCAGTCCAGTTCAACACACACACACACGGATCACTACAACGAGAGACACCCACTGTTCCATCTCTCAATAAATCAGAGCATTTCACTTGTTTGTGCAATCGGGCCGGTGACCCGTTAGATTCTGGTCTCTGTCAAACAGAAAGTCAGTGAAGAGGAGGAGCAGCGACTGTAAAGCAACAGACAAACGTAATGTTTAGATTAGACACTCGCTGTTTCTGCTGCAGAGCTTCCAAGCAGGTTTGGAGCAGAGGAACAGAATAGTGATGAGAGGTTGGGATAGAGAAACATCAGACGGTTAAACACTCTTTGCTGTTGGAGCAACAAATAAAATGAGGGTGTTTTATTAAACAGCTCAGCTCTTCACATTTTTTTTGCCCCTGCTATAAAAACAGCCACTTTCAACAGGTCTATGTGACAGAACTGCTATTTTTAATACTTACCAGTGTAGACTTGAAAAATGCAACAAGTCCACATAATTTCACTGTGATGTATATTTGTCTTTGCTGATTATGTAAGCACGCATAATGGCAGTATATGAAACCATCATGTGGCTCTGACGTCAATCAGGATGTGTACTGTTGCAAACCATGGCCACAAAAGTCAGAACAGCATGCAACAAACAATAAAAGAGAGCAAAACTCAACAGTTAAAACACAAACAGTGGTGCTTGAAAGTTTGTAAACTCTTTTGAATTTTCTATATTTCTGCATAAATAAGACCTATATGTAATATTAGATCCTTTTCCTCAATAAATAAATGACCATGTATAATATTTGGGGATGTACGATATTGGATTTTTGGCCAATATCCATATGTTAAAACTTATTTCTCCAATAACCGATACCAATACAAATATGTTTATTCCTAGACCTACTTACAGAGACTATACCTTTCTCAGCTGTGGGATTAAAATACAACATTATTCTGCATGATCTTTGTCAATTTGGCTTGCTACCAAATGCAGATGCCAAAAACGGGGCTGAATATGATGTAACGCTTCAATTTGGATTATGTTTAATGTCAAATTTATTCATGACATTTACTCTCTATAACCCAATAACAACACTCGAGCAGTGCAAATTTGTACATTTTCACAAATCTAAACTGAACGGCATGCATGATGTCATAATGTTGTACTAGCACTGTAGGTATCCTTGTCACTGGGTTGTCATACAAATAGTGCCTTTATATATATATATATATATAT